GAAAATCCCCTCCAAGAAGGAGAACTTTCCCCACCAAATAAACATTCAAATTCATAATTTCTCTTAGTAATCTGTCTATGGCGTTTATAGCATGACTGGATGCCATGGTGCATTCATCAATAATGAGAAGTTGGGCCTTTTTAATAGTTTTAGCAACTGCACTGTTTATATTGAGTCTAGAAATTGAAGTTCCATTTAATGGAATTGGTCATTTATATTGGGAATGAAAGGTTCTTCCACCAAGAAGTAAATTTGCAGCAATTCCTGTAGACGCTGTGGGTAAAACAGTACCACCACAACCTCTAATATAATGTATTAAAACTTTATTGTGGGGAGCCACTATAGTGTTTTGGACAGGTTCAAGCTTTGGACTGATGAGACCTGGACTGATGAGAGGGCACAGTCCTCTCATTGCCATGTGCAAGTCCCAGCTTGGAGGGCAAGGCCCTCCCAGCACAATTATAGCCAACAGCTATAGATGCAAGCTTGAACCTATGGTCCAAACACCTGGCCCCATGTGCCTGAATGATGTAGGCTTGATAGAGTTCAGGTGCATGTAGTTGAGTAGGATTGAAACCCAGGAGAATGTTGTAAACATCTTGGTCACACCCTTACTTTGCCTCGTGGCATCTGCTATAAAATAAAGACACGGCTGTGGGTGTGGTCGCTGTCTCTCAGAGAAGCAGCATCCCACCGAGACCCTGATTTCATTCTCTTGTCTGTCTTTTCTAAGCCTTTTCAGCCTCCCCCACTCAGGTTCACCCTTGGCCGTGCTGGCGCGGCACACTTTAAAAAGATAATGCCTCCAAGCTCTGAGGGCGGGTTCCTGCCTCAAACCCTGCCCCTTCAGGAAACAGCTCCAGGAAACAGCTGGGGGGAGGGTGCAGCCATTTCCAAGACAACCCCTGCAGGACTGACTTCCTTCCTGTTGGTCGAGCCTTGGGTTGTGATGTTACACCCCGGGTTTTTATATAAATAGATAATTAGCAGACAGATAAAGACAAATAAAATGGTTTCTGAGTTCAACATTAATCTGTAAACATACAGGCCTGTTGATGTCTTGGGATAGCTGTCTGCCTCTGGTGTCAGTAGCTTCTCACTTGGTCGCGCTTCTGGCCGGGATGTTACACCCAGGGTTTTTATATAAGTAGATATAGATTATAATGTTATTGACTGTATTCCCTATGCTGTACTTTATGCTGTACCCCTGACTATTTTTCTAACTTCCAATCTGTATTTCTCAATCCCTTCATCTTTTTCACTCAGTCCCCTCAAACCCCCTTCCCTCTGGCAACCATCAATCTGTTCTCTGTATCTATGAATCTGTTTCCATTTTGTGTGTTTGTTTATTTTGTTCTTTAGATTCCACTTGTAAGAGAAATCATATAGTATTTATCTTTCTCTGACTAGCTAATTCCACTTAGCATAATACCCTCTAGGTCTATCCATATTGTCACAAATAATAAAATTTCATTCTTTTTTAGGGCCAAGTAATATTCCATTGTATATAGGTGCTGCCATTTTTTACCCACTTGTCTCTTTTTTAAAAAAATATATATATATATTTCTTTATTGATTTCAGAGAGGAAGGGAGGAGGAGAGAGAGATAGAAACATCAATGGTGAGAGAGAATTACCGATCGGCTGCCTCCTGCACGCCCCCCACTGGGGACCGAGCCCGCAACCCAGGCATGTGCCCTTGGCGGGGATCGAACCCGGGTCCCTTCAGTCCGCAGGCTGACGCTCTATCCACTGAGCCAAGCCGGCCAGGGCTACCCACTTGTCTCTTGATGGTCACTTGGGTTCTTCCATAGTTTGGCTACTGTAAATAATGCTGCAATTAATGAATATAGGGGTGCACATATCTTTTCAAATTAGTGTTTTGGGTTTCTTCAGGTATATACCCAGAGGTGGAATTGCTGGGTCCTAAGGCAGCTCCATTTTTAATTTCTTGAGGGCCTTTTACACTGTTCTCTGTAGTGGGTGCACCAATCTGAATTCCCACCAATAGTGCTTGAAGGTTCCCCTTTCTCCACATCCTTGATAACACTTATTTGTTGATTTGTTCATAACAGCCATTCAGACAAGTGTGAGATGCTATCTCATTGTGTTCTTAATTTGCATTTCTCTGATGATTAGTGAATTTGAGCAGCTTTTCATGTCTATTGGTCGTTTCTATGTTCTCTTTAAAGAAGTGTCCTCTGCCCATTTTTTAGTTGGTGTTTGGGTTTTTTTTTATGTTGATTGTATAAGTTCTTTATAAATTTTAATACCTGTTATTAAATGTACCATTGGTGAATATGTTCTCCCACTCAGTGGGTTATCTTTTCATTTTGTTGGTTTCCTTTGCTATGCAAAAAAAATTTTAGTCTGATATAGTCCCATTTGTTTAATTTTTCCTTTTTTCCCTGGCCCAAGGAGATACATCAAAAAATATATTGTTAAGAGAAATGCCAGAGATTTTGTTTCCTATTTTCTTCTACGAGTTTTACGGTTTGAGTCTTATAATTAAGTCTTTACAGTAAAACCTTGATATAATGGACTAATTTGGGCAAGGGGTGTCCGTTAAAGCAGAAAGTCCATTATATAATAAAGTAGGTTTCCCGAATGCATATGTCAAAAATTTATAAATTTGCCCTGACTGGTTTGGCTCAATGGATAGTGCGGACTGAATGGTCCTGGGTTCGATTCCGGTCAAGGGCATGTACTGGTTGCAGGCACATCCCCAGTGCAGGGTGTGCAGGAGGCAGCTGATCGATGTTTCTCTCTCTCATCGATGTTTCTAACTCTCTATCCCTCTCCCTTCCTCTCTGTAAAAAATCAATAAAATATATGTTTTATTAAAAAATTTACAAATTAGTTTACCTGTTTTAAATTATGTAGACAGAGTTGTGTAATTAAAATTAAGTATGTATAAATAGTTTAATTTCACAAAGTTTTTTTACATGTATTACAGTAATTTTAAATTTATACTGAATAAGTCTAATAAACGCATGCATTTACCAGTCACCGAGAGTAAAACAAATGCACACGGCTGGAATGTGGCTTAGTGCACAGCACTCGTTAAAACTGCTGCAAAAGTCACGCCATTCAACAACAGAACCAATTACTGCTCATGATGCAATGTGATCACATGCTAATCATTCACCAAACACTGTTTAGGAACAATGACTCTTGGATTTAAATATGTAGAATATAGTTGTAGATACGTAATATTCATTTATGTCAGTGAAATTACTATAGTGTTTTTTCCAACATATGGCCTGTTTGCTAAATTTTGTTAAAAATAACAGTGAATTAATAACAAAAAATAACTTGTTAATTTCATTGTAAGCAAATCTTGGTTAAAAGTATTTTAAAATTAACAGGGTGTTAACTTTCACATATGAGATATGGACTGAAAATTTTGTCTGTTAAATCTGAAGTCCTTGGGGCGGGGTGGAGGAGGTGGGCTAGAAGGGGTCAATGGGGGGGAAGGGGGAGATATGTAATACTTTCAGCAATAAAGATTAAAACAAAAATATGAAGTCTGTTAAATCGAGGTCCACAAAATTGAGGGTTTACTGTAATCCATTCTGAGTTTACTCTTATATATGGTCTAAGAAGGTGATCTAGTTTCATTTTTTTGCATGTATCTGTCCAATTTTCCCAACACCATTTCTTTACCCAATTGTATATTCTTGCCTCCTTTGTCAAATATTAATTTCTGGCCTCTCCATTTAAAACAATCCTCTTTTAAAGCCTATTTCTATGGACCGTTCCAGACTCAACTAATGCCTTGGTTCCCTCACCTATAAAATTCTAACTTATCAACTTATTTGACTTCAATGCTTATTTATCACCTAATTGGCTTGAGAACAGACATCTTTTATTTTTTTAATCCTCACCTGAGGACATGCTGGGGGAGGGAGAGGGAGAGGGAGAAGAAGAGGGAGAGGTTTGAGAGGGAGAGGGAAATCGATGTGAGGGACAACATCAATGTAAGAGAGACACATTGATCAGTTGCCTTCCATATGTGCCCCACTAAGGACAAGAAACAAGACTAAACAAATTCTAATATACTGGTTCCCTTACGAGGAAAAAAAAACATAATAGAGGCCTCTGAGTGTCACAAATCAGAAAAAATCTTGACCCACATGATTTATATTCCCCTTCCCTCAACTTCCCCAGTATAATTCTTAGGTGAACCCAACTGGGCTTCCAACAGCAGTTGGGGCTACTGCCAAGAATACTGAGAAATCACAGGAAACCAAGAAATGCTTCAAGTTGTCTTTTGTCAAATTTCTCTCTTCAATCAGAAAAGTCTTAGGTAAATATTAAATTTCAAGAATGAAAACAGTTCATCTAATAATACAAAAGTAAGTACCATTTCTAGGACATTTTTACTGAAAATATTTTTCAAGCTTAGTTTAATTACCTCTGCTTCTACATCCACATTTTGTTTCAAAAGTAACTTCAAAATATCAACATGTCCATTCTGACTAGCAGCTTGCATAGCAGTGTGGCCAGCACATTGTCCATTTACCTAAATAAATAAAAAAAAAGGATGGAATGTTAAAAATAAGAAAGAGCCAATATATACATATAATATAGGTTCAAATTTGGTACATTGTATGATTCTATTAAAATAATTTACTCTACCCAAAACTTATTATTTAGAATCAAAGGACACATAAAGATCTTCCCAGACAAGAAAAAGCTAAAAGAGTTAATCACCACCAGACCAGTACAAGAAATGTTAAAGGGTCTTCTTTAAGAAGAAGAAAAAAGATTAAAAATATGAATACAATAGTAACAAATACATATTTATCAACAACTACTTTAAATGCAAATGGATTAAATGCTCCAATCAAAAGACATATCGTGGTTTAATGGATTACAAAACAAGACCCATACATATGCTGTCTACAAGAGACTCACTTCAGATCGAAAGACCCACACAGACTAAAACAAAGGAATAGAAAAAGATATTTCATAAAAATGGAAACAAAACAACAAAAAAAGCTGGAGTAGCAATACTTATACCAGACAAAATAGACTCTAAAACAAATGCTATAATAAGAGACAACAAAGGACTCAGCAATTCCACTTCCGGGTATACATCTGTAAAAACCCAAAATACTAAATCAAAAAAAACATGCTTCTTTATGTTCACTGCAGCATTATTTACAACAGACAAGATATGGAAGTGTCTATCAACAGATGAATGGATAATGAAATGGCGTATATCCTATATAATAAAAGCATAGTGTGCAAATTGTCCTCTTGACCGAGAGTTGTCCAGGAGTCCGACCAGGGGGCAGGACTGGCCGAGGGAAGGGAGGGAGGCCCCGGCTGGTGGCAGCAGGCAGCCAGAGGAATGGAGGGAGGCCCTGGCAGGCAGCGGCAGGCGACCGGGAGAAGGGAGAGAGGCCCTGGCGGCAGCAGGCGGCCGGGGGAAGGGAGAGAGTACCCAGCTGGCAGCCGCTAGGGACCCTACCAGGGCATGAATTTCATGCACTGGGCCTCTAGTATACAATAAAATTGTGACTCAACCATAAAAAATGAAATGAAATATTACCATCTGCAACAACATAGATGGCAACCCCAGCATGTGCCCTGACCGGGAATTGAACCATGACTTCCTGGTCAATCACTCAATCACTGAGCCATACTGGCTGCACAAAACATTATTTTTTTAAATCACTATGTTATAAAAAAAAATCACTATGTTGTACACCTGAAACATACAATATTGTATGTCAACTATAATTTTTAAAAACTTTACATTTCAGAATGGAAAGAAAACTTGGGGGGGAGGGGACTTCAATTATAGATGTTCAAGAATTCTTGACATCTAAAAATCAAGAGGAAGATGCTATGAAAAAAAAAAAAAAACACACAGAAAAGCTAAAGAGAAAAAAGTCCCATTAGTAAGAACTGGAAAAAATTTTCCGTATTATAAGACTTTAAAAGTATATTTTGCTCTGGCCAGTGTGGCTCAGTAGATTGGGCACTATCTCATGCACTGAAAGGTTGCTGGTTCCTTTCCAGATCAGGGAACATGCCTGGGTTTCAGGCTTAATCCCCGGTAAAGGGTGTGCAGGAGACAGCTGATCCATGTTTCTCTCTCTCCCTTCCCCCTCCTCTCTCTCTAAATATCAATTTTTTAAAAAAGTATATCCTTATATTTTTATTCATGGTACAAAACAACTGTACCTCAACAAACCTTTTAATAAAGAAAGTATATCCTTGTAAGAGTGTTTTTTTATCTTTATTGTTGAAAGTATCACAAATGTCCCCCCATTTGTCCCCCCATTATCCCCTTCAACCCAGTTCCCACCCTACCCCAGGCCTTCACCACTCTATTGTCTGTGTCCATGGGTTATGCATATATGCATATAAGTTCTTTGGTTAATCTCTTCTCACCCCACCTCTCCTCCCTGATTAGTCTGTTCCATGCTTCAATGTGTCTGGACCTATTTTTTTGTACGTCATTATATTTTGTTCATTAGATTCCACAGATAAGTGAGGTCACGTGATATTTGTCTTTCTCTGACTGGCTTATTTCACTTAGCATAACATTCTCCAGGTCCCTCCATACTGTCTCCAAGGGTAAACGTTCCTTTTTTACAGCTGTATAGTATTCCACTGTGTAAATGTACCACAGCTTTTTTATCCACTCATCTACTGTTGGGCACTTGGGCTGTTTCCAGATCTTAATTACTGTAAATTGCACAGCTATGAAATATGAGGTGAAGATATTCTTTCTGAATGGTGTTTTGGGATTTTTAGGATAGAGTTCTAGAGGTGGGATCGCTGGGTCAAACAGCAGTTCCATTTTTAATTTTTTGAGCAAACTCCATACTGTTTTCAATCGTGGCTACACCAGTCTGCATTCCCATTAACAGTGTACTAGGACATGTTTTTTCATTAAATGATGGGTTGTATTTAATTTCATTATTTATGGCATCATACTAAAACAAAAGTAAAGTTTTATTTTCTTTTAAGCTTCAATCCACAAAAATAATTAGAACTAGCAAAACAAAAACCACACACACACACACACACACACACACACACTCACACTCACACATATACAGGAAGCTGAAAAGCAGACCTAAACCTGCTATGAAAAATACCTAGGTAGCAACCCTTTTGCCAAGGAAGCCCAAAAAACTCAAAGTTGATGACCTCTGAATATGGGGATAATATGGTAGTGAATGTTAAACACAAAAGCATCGGTTGACAGTCTTTTTAAAAATCATTTAGATCCCTGGATTCCCCACCTCTGCACAGCTGTTCCACCCTCACGCTAACAGAAACCTGAAAGTTTATTCTCCAGAAAGGGTAAAGTGTCCCTGGCCACTGTTAAGGATGGGGCAAAGTACTAAAAACAGAAATTTTATGTAAATATTTACAGGCCAAATCCTAAGATCCCAGGCTCTCTTCTCTTATTCAATATTCATAAGGTTGGTATCCAGGTTTATAACCAGCAGAAGAACTAGAGATCTTCCTGGGGAGTCAGACCAGCCCAAGAGAAAAGACCTAAAGACCAATACCCAAGAATAATCCAAGGAAATGTCTAAATCACTCGATGGTGAAAACCAGAGTCGACAAACACACACACACACACACACACACACACACACACACACACACACACGCCTTTTACTGATCACTCTCATAGATAAATGGACAACCAAGGAACACCAGACATCTGAGGAATGGCCTCTGACATGAAAAGATTGTTTGGAAGAAGTTAAAGAGGTAAAAATAGTTGACTCTGGAAGAATGAGAAAATAGGTTGAGAAGGAGATGCCATTTTTCATAAATCTTGAAGTATTTTTCCCTTAAATTTTTAGAATGTATGACACTGTTAAAAAATAAATAAGATACCAATCAGTAATTAAATTTTTTAAATTAAGTATAAAATGTAAATCTGCTTGATTGACTATGAAAGAAGTCTGACTCTATATTTCAAACACAAAAACATTGGTACTTTCCTATCAGTAACAAATTATTTGTGATATATCTTACAACCAATCAAAAAACCACTTTGTTGTGCTGTTGCAATTGCTCTCTCAAATAAGCCTAAAATGCTATGTGAGTTCATAGGAATAGTTTATACCTTACAATTATAGATCTGATCTTCTTCAAACTGTCTAGCATATTTACATACAAAGATGTGGCAACAAAAGCCTTCATAAACACAGCGACTGCCACTCCACTTACAATCTTGGTCTGCACTAAATATCATATTGGTGCCAGCATGGCAGCAATGGCAAAGCCAAAGGATGACTAAGTAAGAACCAAAATAACCCATTTAAAATATGGCTTATATGAACAGTAAGATTACAACATAAACTATTAAGATTTACAAAGTGCATGACCTCTAAGTCATCTGCCTTACAAACTATGAAATAGTCAAGTTTCACAGGGAAGAACGGGTAAAAAAGTTTAGATTAAATATTTTAAAAAGGATAGAAAATTGCTTATAATATTTACTAAAATATATTTAAAACACATAAGATGATATTTACATGAGAAAAAATCACTCAATTTCCCAAAAGGACACTAATCACTTAAAAGCCTAAATATAAATTTTGTCAATCATAAAATAAACGTCACAGTGTTAAAATAAGAAAATTACAATATCTTTTAGAAATGCACACTGAAAAATGATAGCTGGTGTCTTCTTTAAAATATCTCAGAAAAACAAGGACTAAAACACATGTGGCAAAGTCTTAATAAATATTGAAGTAATGTGGCAAAATCTAAATAACTGTTGAAGTATAAGGTTCATTATACTATTCTATTTTAGTGTATCCTTCAAAATAATTTTTTAAATGCTCACATCCACATCTGGTCTTTTTAGCAAATCTTCCACTTTAGCAACATCTCCATTGGCAGCAGCCTTAACTAATTCTTCATTGAGGTCACCAGATTCTTGGGTTTCAAATAATTTCTTCAAGAGTTGGGAGAGTCTTTCTGTAAAGCATCAAATAAAGCTGCTAATACAGGAGAATCTCAAATTTTAACTACTAACAGACAAGCATTAACCATATGCCCATAATATATACTTTTTCTTTTTTATTTCTATGTTATTTTTTATTATACTACAGATATTACCACTGCAAGTTACAATTACTAATATATATATATATATATATATCTGCATTAAATTTGAGCCCATAAGTATTCCAAGTGTTTTCCAATTCCAATGTCTTTCAAGTTACAATTTCAGAAAAAGTAGAGAATTATAATAATAATAATTCAAGATGTGGAAGTCAAACCAAAGATATTAGAAATGAACACATCACAATAGGACTACCATAATGATACAAACTTCCCTTGAGGTCTTAAGCATACCAGCACAGCGAGTCTCTGAGCTCAGTGCTACAGATCTTAAAATAAATCAACAGATCAATGATTATGACTCAAAAGAAATGTAATCTCTATAACATCAGGGGAAATATTTTAGAGGCAAACCAATTTTCAGTTGAAAATGGACATCTAAGTGTTAACATATTTCAAAGGTGCCCACTGATTAGTTTAGACTAAAACGAGAAAGAACTAGGGATTTACAGACCCTTTCCTAACATATTTTTTCTAAACAGCATTAATCAGTAGAAAACCTACTCAGTTCTACTCCTTAATTCTTGGATCGTCTTATTGGAAAGCAATGAAATCACACAATGGGGCAGAATACCATCAAGTTTACATTGCTTGAGAGAAGGACATTAACCATCCTTCACTCTTTTAATTTGTATGTAGTCAGCCTGTTGTGATACCATCTAACCTTGAGGTAAAAATAAACACCACCTGATTTAAACTGTAAGCACACTAGCAAATTACAGCAGGAAAGAAAAGACAGAGGCAGTGGAAGTAAAAGCAGTACAAAATAAAATTGGAAGTCACTCTATGTTTTCCTTTACTTTCTTAATATTTATTTACTGTTATGGTTCTACCTTCTTTTCTAGATGACAACAATATATCTCAGTAACTTATAATTTGTTGTAGAATGAACTGAGTCTGTGTACATAAAGCTGGAGCATAGGAATGAAAGACTGAGCTTGAGTCTACCCAAGCATCCAGCATATTCACATCTCAACATGGTTTTCTACTCATTGTAGAATGTATAGTAACTCTTATTGAACAGTAAGAAAAAAAATATGGCTGAGATGTAAAAATATCCAGAAAGAAAGCCATCTGCTAGCAATAAAGGAAAATAAAACAGTCTAAGAAAGTGATGGTTCTTTGGCAGAAAACAAAAGTTCTGCCTAAGGAAAAGAATGTTGAATTTTAGATATCTTAAATTTGATGTGGAGAAGTACTCAATATATCTAAGATAGAGCACATATTTATGGAATTTTTCCAGTGCATACCTCAGCCAGAACATAGG